CCCCGCCTCCTCCCCGCGGACGAGCCGGAACTTTGCGTCGTGCGTTGCGGTAACGGGATTGCGGCGCTAAAGTTGGAAATTCAGTTGGTAATGTCATCACGTTAGATTGTTATGACCTTAAGCCGGAGCAACTATGGGCGATCGCGACGATCGCCCTTGGCATTGCGAGATTAGTCCGGCATAGTTCCTTTATCACGGCTGTCAATTGGGACTACAAGCGCTATTGATCGATCTCGCGTACGTAAGGGGATTATCGTACGCCGGTAGTGCCTGCCCGATTGACACCTAAATTATGGGCAAACTGCCAGGCTGAACGGCAGGCTATTCCGGTCGGTGGAAAAACAGATATCGCGATTAGTATCGCGGCCTGCAGATATCGGAACGTCGAAGACGTCCCGATAACGAATTGAAAGCGTCGAACGCGACGCGTTATCGTGCACCGAAGAAGGCGACGCGCCGGGCCGTTATCCCTGTGATTTAAACGGAAACGACGGAGAATAGGAGAATTCGCGCGCGATAACGTTGATTACGATGTAGAACACGGGGACGAGCGAATCCGCGAGATCGGCCCACGAATCGGCCCGATCGTATATATACATCGGGCATGGATACATCGGGGATTGAATCGCGAATTCGTTGCGGGGAGATAAAGCGCGCACGATGTCTCCCCTGGGCGTCCTTTGCCGGTGAAGCCTTTTAAACGTACATTTAAATCCGCGAAAAACTTTAAATCACCGCCCGACTGCAAAATCAACCGGTCGCGCGGGGCGGGATTTGAAAGTTAAACAGAATTTACATGGTGCGGGCAACGACGAGGCGCGGCGCGACGCGGTACCTCAAGTGGGTCACTTGGGGTGCCGCGGAAAGACCGGCCGGGGATAATATCCTGCTTGGACCCAATTAAAGTTCCGCAACTCGCGATTTGTACACGTACATTATTTGTCGAGGCGAAACACGAGAAAGAGAAAACAAACGAAGGGAAGGGAAGGAAGGAAAAAGGGGGAAGAGGAGGAGGGAAAGGAGAAAATCAAGGCGACGGGAAAGGGAAAAAGATAAGAAAACTTGGCGGATCTTTCCCGTCGGCCTATCGTTACGCAGCCCCGCGTCCCGCGCGCGTAGTTTTTCCGCGTTTTCCGCGTTAATTGCGCGAATTAATCGGGTGGCTCGACGGAAACGTAATAATATAGGGTGGAGGGCAAGAGAGGGAAAGAGAGAGAGAGAGAGAGAGAGAGAGGCTACGAGAAGAGGATACTGTCGGGCCAGGTGGTGATCGTGAAGAAGATCGGCGCGAAGACGTTCTGCACGACGGTCAATACATGGTTCTCCGCGCTGTCGTTCACCGAGCCGAAGAGAACGCGTTCACGGAAGTCCTCCGGCTGGAAGACCTCGTCGTGCAGCCTCGCGAAGTAGTTGAGCTCGCGCACGGTCACCGTAGGGAACGAGTGTTTCGCGGTCAGGACGCCGCGCGAGTGGTAGAAGCAGAGGACCGGTAAGCTCGGGTTCCGGAAGAACTCTTGGGTGTACGTATCGCACTGCGCCGTCCAATCGATGTCCCTGAGGCCGCTCAGCGTCGTCATATCCTTGACACTTCGAACCTGAGTAGAAGCATCCGCGCTGGTCGGAGTATGGAAAGTGACTCGAGTTAAGCCGGGCCGTCCCATGGCACGTGGCTCGCCATGGCTCGTTCGACCATGCGGGGTCGTTATCGGTTGAACGAGCATAGGCGAGCCGTGGGACCCCGGCTTTACGATCGCGACCGGGTTAACGAGCACTCTCGAGCGCTTGAAAAATATCGCGAACAACCAAGTTCGTTTAAGCTGGCCCGGTCGTGAGACTAATTTTCAGAAGGCTCGAGGTCGGTCTCTCTTGACCCTTCGAGTGGCGCGCTTACCAATTCGTTCAGTTCGTCCGCGCTGTACCTCGTTCTCGGTCGGATCGTCGTGATCTCCTCGTACTCCTTCTCTTCGTCTGCAACAACGCGCAACCCGCTCGATAATCCCACGTATCTCGTGGATCGCGATGTAGCGACACCGCGACCGTGTCGCGACGGCCGTACACGGAAAGCCGAGATATCCGAGCTTGCCGTGCGCGTCGCGTATATCACGCCGCTGAAAGGGGCGGCTGCAGTCCTCCTCTCGTAACTAATAAAGGACATTGGAAAGGGGAAACAAATTCCACGAGACGCGCACGAGGCCGTTCGTTAGTCGTCAATTGGAACGGCTCGATGGGTCCTCCTAAATCCGCCAGCCCGGTTAAATAGAAGACATTCGTTCTAAGGGTCTCTCGTTCGGCCCGATATCATTCCTCAGGCCTTCTCCTCCTCCTCCTCCTACTACTACTACTACCACCACTACTATTCCTCCTCCTCGTCTCGAGAGATCCCGGGCCGTCGCAGTCGCCCATTCGCCACCCATGCCTTTGCTCTTGGCAATCTAATAGGAACTATAAATCGCGAGTAGCTAGTAAATCGACGGAAGAGGAAACACGTCGCGTCGTGATCGAGACGCCAGCACGGGCCACGTTACGGCAATTTATCCCGCTATGATGGCCGGACATTATGCAGATATCGTGCCGCGCGATGTCTTCTTTCGCGACGCGCCGCGACTTATCGGTCTTACGTACATGACGCTTCTCATCGCACCGACCGTCGTCCTCGCCACTCCACCGCGCCGGCGCGGGGTGAGATTATTCAACGTTTCGTTACGTACAACCGCGTAGAAGTCATAGAACAGAGTCCGTGCAGCGGAGCCCGCCCCGTTTCGATTAACAATTAACTTCCGCGAGATAATAGATCGGTATTGATTCAACTGTCCCCGCTGTTATTTTAATATCGACGTGGTCGCTCGTTTCACGGCCGCGAAATTGAGAAGCGAGATGGAAGCGCGGAGAAGGTACATATTCGCTCTACGTGAGATTTCATATATAACAAAGAAACAAGGGACACGACAGGTGCATGCGAGATACGATCAAGAAATATCGAGAGAGAGAGAGAGAGAGAGAGAGAGAGAGATAAAAGCTTTTATTAATCATTCCACGGCAAGCTCTCTAAAAACGCTAGAAGACTAGTTTGTGAATTAATAGATTTGAAAGAAAATTGATTATTAACAGTATTGGTAATTCAAAGAGGAAAAGAAATGTATGAACGTAATAACGGATAGAAATGTAATAATAAAATGAAATAACCCTGATACTGTACTATAATAAGAAAGTCGCCATATTTTATTAACGGAAAAGTAGTTTATGAATGTATATGTGTGAATAATTCTCTTAAATAGTTGAAGAGTCAGAATTTAAATTGCCAGATCGAGTTGAAATTTCTGATCTCAGGAGAGAATAAGTTCCAAGAGAGAGAGAGAGAGAGAGAGAGAGAGAGAGGGTTTTATTACACCATAGGATACAAGTATCCCCTTAGGTATACAGAAAGCATTTTCGGCTAAAAAGCTAGTACGGAGCGTGCAGTCAGAGAAAACAACAGCAACATAACACAGAGAATGCAATAAATCCAAAGTAATAATAATATCTTAATAGTAAATAATAATAAATAATAGTTCTACAAAAAGCAAAATTTATAGCAACAACAAAGCGACATCGAAAAGAAAAAAAAAACACTCAGAAATTATGAGAAAAAGGAATTAATAATTAATTAATACAGTAAGACTCAGCACACCATACTGATTGCTCCGATCTACGGGTAAAAAAGGAAAACATAAATATAGATGAGAGAAAATAAATAATATCAGCATAACAAAAAACTAATAGCTTTTTTAGAGATCATGAGAGGCGATTTAGGATCACACATAAGAATACATGAATAATTAACATGCAATCTGATTGTAGATACAAATGATTCAGCGCAACATTACAATAGAACAGAAGTACGAAAAGAAATCATTAAAATAATATACATATATGTAAGGGAGATAATTAATAAAACATACTTACTACTTAAGTTAAAAACAGTCAATTAGGAGGTATCTGTAGCCTGTCTTTCAAGAGAGATTTAATAGATAATTTAATAAATAACAGATTTAATAGATAGAAGCGTTTCAAATTATTAGGGAAGAGAGGGAGAGGGAGAGAGAGAGAAACGGCGTCGTTTTTAATTCCTTCTCTATTTTATCGACAGCTAGAAGCAGTGATTTGTTCCGCAGCGCGATTGTTCGCCGCGCAAATAAGTTTACGTGTTCCGAGGGGGCGAGCGAACGAGCTTGCGAACGCGCGAGATCGGACGGAGGCGCGTTTCACCGGCGTCGGCCGCGAACAAAATCGTGCTCCTTAATCACGCGCACGTAACATGACGTTAATTGTTTGCGGACTGCGAAATTCGTAGATCCCGCCATTCCTCGCGCAGTCCCGCGTTCCCGTGGAAGAGTCGACTCCCCGGTGTAATAACGTTAGTACGCGTTGGCGCGGATAGACGTAGGTAGCCTGCATATAGATTATCGGTTTATCTAGTTCACCCACTTTCGGACCGTGCGAGTACCATGAGAACTCGCTGGAGGACGAATTAGGTTCATTTTCCAGCGCGCGGGAGAGGGCGGATGCGATCGGGGTCGAAAGGTAAATTGCCATAATCCCGGGGACAAATTAGGAGCCGGGCAACAGCGCGAAATCTGCGAATGACCGATTAATCGCCGCCGCAAGTTGTTGGGTTACGTGCGATATATCATAATTATTGAAACGGAGAGAGTCGGTTTATTAATACCGGCGTCTCTCTCTCTCTCTCGCGCCGAGGCAATCGTACATCGATCATACCAGTTTTGTCTTTGAGGCTACAATCGCGAAATTCATGTTTACCTCGAACGCGTTCGCATGCTAAAGCAGCTATTGTAATTGCAAATTCGCGGACGCGCGGCCGCCGTCGACGAATCCGAGCGTTCGCACTCGAGCGTGTACGCGCCGGACGTTGCCGAGCGGACTTGTTACGAATTAGCTGCGTATATGGTTAACGCGCTTGTTATTATTGTTGCCTCGTTAATATTTGCGGGAGTAGGTATCGAGTATCGTAAATAAGTATCGTAAATCAGGACGATCGTCGCGACTATGCGCGCGAATTAGCGGAATGAATCGATCGCGAGCTTGTTCGCCGTAATTAATCGACGCGTTGCGTCGTAATAAAATATTCGCGAGCTCGTCGGCCCGTCGAGCATCGACCGCGGATCCCGCTGAGATCGCGAGATTCGCGTGTTCGCAGGTCTGTGTGCGCGTGTGTGCGTGCGTGTATATTTGTAAAAGACGTGAAGGTTGGAGAGAAACGACGGTGGATCGATATGGAGCGAGGGGAGACGATCTTCTCGCCGTCCGAGATCCGTCAAAAGCGAGGGAGCGCGTTTAATATTTTTCCCCCCGCGAATGTATCGTCGTCGACTTTGCGCGCGCTGTATCCGCGGATTTCACGGGGAGAGTTAGAAGGAGACCGATAATCGGCTCGCGGCGAGATCGTGCGAAACAGAAATTGAGATGGAGGGGGTTGGGAAGGAGCGTGTGTCGGAAGTGGGACAGGCGGCGTGAAAGAGGCGAACCGGGAAAGGAGCGGAAAATCGGGAGAGTAGCAACGGGGAAGAGCGGGCGCGTTTAATATTTTTCCCGTAAATCTCACCGAGCGTTTCCGCTTCATCGCTGAACTCGGCGTCCAAGTACTCTCGGTGCGGGTCCGGGGGCGGCTTATCTTTAACTTTATTTCTCTGTCTTTGCATTTTATTGACGGGGTTGGCCTGCCGGAGTCGTCACCTCTCTCTCTCTCTCTCTTTCTCTCCCGCTCTGTCGCTCGAACCTGTGCAGCTGATTTATGCGCCCGGTCCGACTGTTACGGCGCCGAATCTTTCAACGTTTCTCGCCTGTTCTCGCCGTAGATATCTTGAAGCACCACCGCGAAGTTGGCCGGGAGTGAGGGGGAAAGAGGAGTGTAGTCTAGGAGGTAGATCGGCTTCTGGACCGATCGTTCGTTGTTGAAGGGGTTCTCAATATTTCCCTTAAAAAACAACGTCCCTGCTCGATGTTCATAATCTCTTAAACGAGGGGTGACGGGAACATTTGCAAAATGCTCGTTATCGCGTTCACAATCATGGAGTCATTACGCGACGATGACGGAATTTTTGCCGAGGATATGACGCGCACAAAGGCAATGCGCTGTTACGGATTAAAATTATTACTTCCATATATACGGTTTTCCTCCTTATTAGCCGTGCGCTGTAGTCGTATTCGTTTATTTGTTACTATCAAGCCGTCATTTCCTTTAAATTGGAGCTTCAGAAAGCTCACGAACACCTTTCACTTCGTTGCCCGCATTACACGTTCCGGTGAGTAAATCGCGGAACTTCAGTTTATTAGGTTCATTGTGACCGTCTATTCGTTAAAATTACGTACATTACCTCGTTTCAGAGCTACTACCTCATTTGCGTCGGAGAATAATCACGTACATTTTGTGCATGAGTAATTGCTGCATCCGTTATAAGACTGCGATATAAAACGCGTAACGAGGCTGCCACGGGAGAATGTAGAAACAATTTTCCGTGCTGTTCCCGATTCCGTAAGTTTCGGGGGAGAGATGCTTGAAAAAAGATTTAGAAGTGCTAAA